CCAGAAAAGCTCTAAAATACAGCATAATCTGGTTTTACATAGCGTGTTGTGTTTTTGGAGACAAGAAAATCGCGTTTTGACTGTTTATTGTTGTGAAGAAAGAGCGCAAATGAAGCCTGAGCGCTCCAAAAAAAAAGCGCACCGGTGCTGCGTTCACGGCCTGTCGTTGTGTTTCCTTTAGCGCCGGAGGAGGGAGACCGGTGCCTCCGCGCGGAGATGTCCTGCGGCCACGCCGTGACCCCGGAGTCTCTGACCGGGTGGTGCCGCAGCCTGCTGGACCAGGTTTGGGCCCTCCGTCTTATTCCGCAATTCACTCCGACAGACGTTTCTCTGTGACTGCGTATTAGTGCGAGTTTGTTCACTGTAGGGTGACTATCGCACTCCAAATTAGTCACTGTAGTGGCGATTGTTTGTCTAACCAAGCAACCAATAATAGTTCCCCAAGCCACTAAGAGGCACTGGGGTCCAGTTTCTATACGCAGGCAAAAGAAGATTTAACATCCAAACTTGTTGATTATTCTGGAAGGTTTATTTGTATGGAAGCCCGTTTCCGCCACTCTGCTAAAAAAATAATAATAATAATCTCATTATAATGAGATACTATCTCATTATAATGAGATAGTATCTCAAAATAATAATGAGATAGTATCTCATTATTTTGATAGTATCTCATTATAATGAGATAATTTTTTTTTTTTTTTTTTTAGAAGAGTGGCAGAAAGGGGCTTCCATATATTTGTTCTTTCCAGCAACAATTACAGACTTCAAACTTTCCTTTGTTCTCATTCTGTCAATCTTACTCTGTTCTCTTGCTCTGTTCTCTTGCTCTGGTAAAAACCATAGGCCCCAAACCCAAAAGCCTTGCTGGTCCTTTACCAGGCCCCTATACTTGTAGAAAAGTGGACTGACCCACATAACTACCGGTCTAACTCAAAGAAGGAATAAGAAAAATAATAAGACAAGAAATGAAATAGAACCAACAATTATTAACCTGCAAACAAATACTGTAAATGTGACTCTAATGATGAAACTTGGCTCCAATACTGGTTGAAGGGTGTCTGTTTTTCTTCTTCTTGCATAATACACGTTGACAAGATTGTATATTGATTATAAAGATATTTTTGGCTATTGATTTGTTTACTTTGCGGTTACTTTGCGGTCAACAGAAAATTTCGGCCCCTATGTCAACCCCTCTCTGTCACAAACAAAAGACAAACTCCATGGGCAGACACAGGTGATAATTATCAGGCCATCATCCAAACCCAGCCACACCCACATACACACACACAGACACACACACACACACACACACACACACTCTCACGTCCAGAGCTAAACGCATCCATGCCTCTACATTCCCTTTTCTTGAGTTGTTTGTGAGTTTAGGAGGTTTTTAGACTAATGCAAAAGCGTTTTAGAGGTTCTCTGAAGCTAAAAAGTCAGACTTGGTATTTCTTTACACAAACTACTTTTGATTTCCTCATTTTAAATCGGTACTAAAGACGTAATTCACCATTCAGGATTAATTTCACACATGGCTTATTTAAGATTTCAGACTTTGGCCGAGTTCCAACGGCTCAGGCTCTTCCTGAGTGAATTATTGTCAACAAACGTGGTCTTTAAGTGTCCTCACT